CAGCTGCCCAGCTGGGGTGATACCATCCACTGTCCACAGTGGAGGAGGAGTCACTCCGTGTGCACAGTTCTGTGTGGGCTCTACCGTAAATGTCACACCCAGTAGTCCCCTGCCCCGAATGTGGCCCCAGACAAGCAGGGATATCTGAGAGCAGGGACGTTTGGGGATGCAGGCCGGGGTCCTGGGGCGACCTTCACCATGGAAACAGTCCTGCTGAGCAGGTCACGTTGGCAGTTTCCAGGGTCAGGATGTTGGTACCTTGGAGGCCATCATTCCACCTACTTAAGTACTTAATGGGTATTTAGTAAGTTAATAAATTGCCGGTCATTACGACAAGCACTCGTGAATCTCAGACTTTCAAGATAGAACCAGGTGTCCGGCACCAACAGCTCAGGATGCATTTACAGTTTCCTTCTCAACTTCTCATCTTGGGACCCCCACTCTGGTTACACCTGCAAAGACCCCTTCCCCGAATAAGGCCCCATCCACAGGTTCTGGGTGGATGTGTCCTTTGGGGGCATCGTTCAGCACCCTATGCCCCTGTGTGTGAGGTCAAATGTTTCCCCCGATATGACGCTTTTGGGGGTGGCGCTGGGTCACAGCAGGTGGGGCAGTGGGGAGGACAAAACCCCCATGAGCCCCACTTTCTGTCCCGCAGGCATCTGCACGGCCTGGGGCAACTCTCACTATTCCACCTTCGATGGCACCACCTTCTCCTTCCTGGGCAACTGCACCTACGTGCTCCTGCGGGAGATCCAGCCACGCCACGGGAACCTGACGGTCCTCCTGGACCACCAGTACTGCGCGGCTGCCATGGGCGCCGACCGCTGCCCCCGCGCCCTCCGCATCTACTACCTGTCCATGGAGATCGTCCTCACGGTCACCGAGAGCAAAGGGGAGACGCAGAGCCTGGTGGGTCCCATAACCCACAGGCCCTGTGGGGCGCCTCCAAAGCGGAAGGGAGGGGAGGGTGAGTGGCAGGAAGTGCAGGCCTGCGGCATAGGGCCAGGTGCCTCGCAGGGGGCAGAGGAAGTGGGGCGCCCACAGGAAAGTGCTAGAAGGGCTGGGGACAGCGGCCAGGTCAGGCTCACGGGTCAGACGGCTGGTTGGGTGACGTGGTGTGGGGGCTGGAAGGAAAGAAGCCCAGGCAGACACCAGGCAGGAGAACGTGGTGCTGACTGTGGGCATCAGGGGCGGAGGCAGGGCAGGGATGCCAGGAGGGCCCGGGCTGCAGGGGCCCCTCTGTGGGAGCGCAGAGGGGGGCCCAGCATGGGGAGCTGCAGGGAGTGGAGGCCACAGGGGGCAGAGGAGACTGGACAGGAGGGACCAGGCAGATGAAGGGGCAACAGAGGGTGGAGCCCAGAGCAGGGCCTTAAGCAGCAGAGAGGTTACAATGAGGGGTGTACGGCCGGGGCTCCCCTGCATCATGAAGCAGGTGGGAAAAGAGATTGCAACTGGGTGCTCTGGGTCCCGTGCTGACCACTGCACCCCCCACGGGCATGAGGGACACCGTGTAGGGCCCGGGCAGGGTGCTGCCCCAGAGCGAGGGGCTGGGGGCTGGGGAATGGGCCCTGGTGTCACCTCCCAGGAGCTCAGCAACAACACAGCACACCCTCCACGCCAGCTCAGCAGGCCCAGGGACGAGGGTCTCAGGTCGTTTAAGGCGGGTCTGTCCCGCGCACTGAGACTCATACCACATGGCTCCACCCAGGGATGGACTGCCCCAAAGCAGAGAAAGCACTGGCCTCCTTACCATCCTACGTGGACCTGCTTACTGCAGACAGGGACTAAGCACAAGCCAACCTGTGCTTACCTTGCCTGTGGAGTAGTCCACACTGGCTGCACCCCAGGTCTGGGTCCCCATCTCATGGGGAGGGGTCTGGGAGTGGGGAAGACCAGGGGGCTTCCTGCAGCAGAGGCCACTCAGGACCCCCACGCTGCCCACTGCCTGCAGGCAAGCCCCGGGAAACCGCATCTGAGATGGATACCCAGGGGGCAGTTCTGGGGTCTGGCATGGGAGGGGTGGCACGATGGTGACCAGTGACAGACACTTCCCGGTGTGTCCTAGATCCTCTTGGATGGTGAACACATCAGCCAGAGCTCCAGCAAGGATGGTGTGAACATTTCCAAGACAAGGGCCGGCACCATGGTGGTGCATGTCCCTGACATCGGTGCCCGAATCACCTTTGACGGGAGCATCTTCCAGGCCCAGCTCTCTTACAGCTTATTCAGCCACAACACAGAGGGCCAGTGCGGTGAGAGGCCCTCCCCGCCCACATGGTCCCACCTGTGCCTGAAGCTCCACCCCTGGGGAGGAGCAGCCCTGCCCATCTCTCACCTACCACCACGCCCACTCATGAATCTTAGCTGTTCCACCTGACCACTGTGCCAGCCCACACCTTGGCTCAGGGACCCCCCAACCCCCAGCTGGAATAGCTGCTCTGCCCCCAGCCAGAGGGGGTCTTACACCTGAGGGGCCAGGAGGACGGCTCAGGGTCGGGGGCCACTACCTGGCCCCATGGTGACACCCCATCCCCACTCCAGGCACCTGCACCAACAACTGGGCAGATGATTGCCGCCAACCAGATGGTACCATGGCTCCCACCTGCGAGAGCATGGCCCAGACCTGGCTGGTGCCCGACAGCAGCAAGGAGGGATGCCTGGCACCAACCAGGCTGCCCCCAAGCAGTAGCCCACGGCCCACTGTGTCCACCCCACCCACGGCGTCCAGCCCACTCGTGTCTACCCTGCCCACAGTGTCCACCCAATTCACTGTGTCCTCCCTGCCCACCGTGTCCACCCCGCCCACCACATCCACCCCGCCCACGGCGTCCACCCCGCCCATGGCGTCCACCCCACCCACCGTGTCCACCCCACCCACCACGTCCACTCTGCCCATCGCATCCACCCCGCCTACCACGTCCACCCCGCCCACCACGTCCACCCTGCCCACTGTGTCCACCCCGCCTACCACATCCACCCCACCCACAGCATCCACCCCGCCCACCGTGTCCACCCCGCCCACCACGTCCACTCTGCCCATGGCACCCACCACACGTACTATGTCCACTCCATTGACTGCATTCACCTCTACCCCATGTCCCCCGGATCCCCTCTGTGAGCTGATCATGAGCCCGTAAGTCCCTCCTTTGGGGCTCAGTGGTTGGGGGTGCCCTCCTGCCTGAGCCCCAGGACAGAGGTCCCTAACTCCTGCTCCGTGCCAGCAGGGTCTTCGCTGAGTGCCACGGCCTCATCTCGCCCGGCCAGTTCTTCAGTGCATGTGTCAGCGATGGCTGCTGGGGGGACCACCCCCAAGGACCCTGCGAGAGCCTGGAAGCCTATGCCACACTCTGCCGAGCCCGGGGCATATGCAGTGACTGGCGCAATGCCACCCACGGGCTGTGTGGTGAGTCAGGCAGTGACCAGGATGTGGGGCAGGGGGTCGCCCACCTCAGCCCATCTGACCTCTTCCTCTGGGCCCGTAGATCTCACCTGCCCACCCACCAAGGTGTACAAGCCGTGTGGCCCTGTGCAGCCTGAGACCTGTGACTCCAGGTGCGTGGCGGCCAGGCTGGGGAAAGCAGGGATGGTACATGGGGACAGAGGAGACAGATGAGGACAGTGGGGATGTGGAACAGAGAAGAGGCAGGGACAAGTGCAGGAATGAGACTGGGGACAGCAGGGATGGTGGGCAGGGACAGTGTGGACAGCAGGGACAGTGTGGACAGCAGGGACAGTGGGTGCTCTCAGACCTCCCAGGCCTGAAGGTTCTGGGAGGAGCCGAAGGAGCTCCAAGGACGGCTGGAGTTCCCCAAGATCTCTGAGGTGCCGTTTCCTAGCCCCTTGAAGAGTCCCTGGGTGCCCCTGCAGCAGCAGCTCTTAGGGAATCCCTTCACAGCCAGAGACCATGGAGGGTGCCTTACCCTCGACCCCAGGAGCAGCCCTACCCACTACACACACTCACTCGCATGCTCACACACGCACACCCACGCACACATGCACGCATGCAACCTCCTCCTAGCCCAGCTGCACACTGGCCTCCCAGGGGACCATGGGCCCCAGCACTGGTTTCTGGCCTCACAGGAACCAAAGCCCTGTGGGCCTGGGGCTAGCAGAGGGCTGCTTCTGCCCAGATGACGAGGTCCTCTTCAACACGTACACCGGGGTCTGCGTGCCTGAGTGCCGTGAGTAGCCCCTACCCACCGTGTCCCCAGCCCCAGCCCCTGCAGAGGAAGGGGAAGAGGGCAGGCCGTGGGAGGGCCCTACACTGGGCCCTTGTGGCCTCCATGGTCAGAGCACCGTGTGCCTGCTCCCCCCGCCCATCGCCTGGACCGTATCCACCTGGCACGTGCCAAAGACCAGGGCAGTGGTGTTCTGAGGGGCTTGAGCCCTGCAGAGCCACACGTGAGTGTCCCTGCTCCTGGGCACCACTGCTTGGCACTAGCGCAGCAGTGGGCTTAACAGGGCACCCACCCAGCCCAGCCATGCGAGGCACAGAGCCCTTCCCTCCTCGATGACTCTGGAGGCTTCAGCCCTGTGGAAGGGCAGAGGCCGTGTCTGGGGGGTGGGGGCGTGGCCTTAACTGCCCCCCAGGACAGGCTTGCGGCTCTGTCATTGCATTCCACACCCCAGCACCCTTCATGACGATGTTCTCCTTCCCCGCAGCCTGCGTGGGACCAGACGGGTTCCCCAAATTCGTGAGTGGCTCTGCCTTCTGCCCCACCCCCCACTGATGCCAGCATCCTGAGAGTCCCAGAAGGGCGGGAATGTACCCACCTCTGCCAGCACCCCTCGTGAAGCATGTCCTCCCTCCCGCTGCCCTGGCTGCTCCTGGGGGGCGACCTGCGGGAGGGTAGCCAGACTGATGAAGGGGCTGGCGGGCGGGGGCTGGAAGGTGCCTTTGGGGCTTTCTCACGGGTGGGGACAGCCTGGCACCTTGATGTGGTCTGTTGCAGCCGGGCGAGCACTGGGTCAGTAACTGCCAGGACTGTGAGTGTGAGGCGAGCCCGGCGACCGTGCGGTGCCGGCCAGTGCAGTGCGAGGTGCTGGACGAGCCCCCCGCCTGCAGCCAGGCCGGCTTTGTGAGCGTGAGCAGGCCCCGGGCCGACAGCCCGTGCTGCCCGGAGATCCTGTGTGGTGAGCCCTCGTGGACGGGCAGAGCGCAGGGGACATGGTGTGCTAGGGAACTGGTGATCTCCAGCCCGTCCAGGTGATGTCAGGCAGGTGACCGAGTGCAGGGGCTTGGGACTGACACAGGGTAAGGTCACACCTGTGCAGAAAATCAGCTCTGGGGCTAAAATGGGAGGACCCACTGCTCATTCAGGGAGCTAACATTCAGGGAGCTCCCTTCACCCCTGCAGGTTGAAGGTCAGAAGGGAAGCTGGGGGTTGTTGGGCTAGTGGCAGGGGAGGGCAGGGCCCTGGTGTTGGCCCTCTCCCCTCCGACAGCCTGCCTCTGCCCTCACTCAGTGTGCAACACAACCACCTGTCCTCAAGACCCACCTGAGTGTGGGCCAGGCCTGGAACTGACCCGTACCCAGGAGGACGGTGCCTGCTGCGCCACTTTCAGCTGCAGTGAGTGGGGCCCCCCGCTAGGACTGGGAGTCTGGGAGTTGGCTGGGCAGGGCTGGGGCTGGGCCCTCCTCTGTCTGGGTGGAGCACTCCTGTGGCTGGGCGGGGCTGGGGCTGGGCCCTCCTCTGTCTGGGTGGAGCACTTCTGTGGCTGGGCGGGGCTGGGGCTGGGCCCTCCTCTGTCTGGGTGGAGCACTCCTGTGGCTGGGCGGGGCTGGGGCTGGGCCCTCCTCTGTCTGGGTGGAGCACTTCTGTGGCTGGGCGGGGCTGGGGCTGGGCCCTCCTCTGTCTGGGTGGAGCACTTCTGTGGCTGGGCGGGGCTGGGGCTGGGCCCTCCTCTGTCTGGGCGGGGTTGGGGTGGAGCACTCCTGTGGCTGGGCCCTGCTCGGGCTGGGTGGGCTGGGACCATCTGGTACTTGGCCTCCAGGCAGCCCTCAGCCTACCTTCCTTTGCAGAGCCTCAGGTCTGCACCTACAATGGGACCATCTATGGGGTAGGTGCAGCCCCTCCACTCTTCCCACAGGGAAGGCCGTCTGCTCCCCACCCCAAGAACCCAGGGTGAAGTCCAAGGGGAGGGTGTAGGCAGTGGTGCAGTCGGCTCTGGGTGGGTGGGACCGCAGCACATCCCTGGCAGTGCCCTGTGTCCCTCTAGATCTCCTGTCCCATTTGGACACGCCTAGCCAGGCTGCCCTTTCCTGCCATGCGAGCAGAGAAGCAGAGGGGCTGCGGGCCCACAACCCTGTGGGGCACACGCTGGGGGGGACGCAGTGGGGGAAGCACACAAGGGACGTGGGGGGTGCCTTCAGGTGAGACCTGAAGGGGACACAGTGGGGCTATGTCCCCGACACCTGCTGCCGGAGGGTGTGGGCATCAGCTTGCCCTGCGGTTTCCTCCAGTGTGAGAGTTGGGGGGACCCTGGCCGCTGGCCCCTCTGCCCGCCCAGGGTCCTGCCTCTGGTGGGGCTGGCAGGGAGTGCCAGCTGGGAGGTGCACTTAGGGTTGCTTGGCCATGGCGCCCCCTCACCCCTGCTGTGCCTCTCCCTTCACCCCTGCAGATTGGAGCAACCTTCCTGGGGGCTGGGCCCTGTCACACGTGCACCTGCCTGTCCAGTGACACGCAGGCCCCCTCTGTGCAGTGTAAGGAGAACACCTGTGACACCTCCTGCTCCCAGGTGGGTCCCCAGACCCCGGCCTCCCGCCACCACCCAGTGGCTGCCCTGGGAGTGGGTACCCAGCCCGCCTGTGTTGTTGGCAAGCCCTGCAGGCCTGGTATTTCTCAAGCTCTGTTGTGTGTCCTGTGCTGAGCTCAGCAGGTGCCTGGTAGGCTGTGAAGGGGTAAAGCGGGGAGACAGAGAGTGTGTGGGGCCACAAGACAGCAAAAGCCTGGAAGGGGATAAACCTCCTGGCCCGGAACACCCAGAGACCTAGAAGGGCTGGGAGCACCCCTAGGTCTGAACACAGGCCACAGGCCCCGGGAGCAGGGGGCCGGGTGAGACTCCCCGAAGGCAGAATAGACAGAGGAAAGGGGAATGGTGAGGCCACGCGGGGACAGCTGGGCAGGGTGGATCTGTGCAGGACGTGGCCTGCAGGGGTCATTACAGGAAGGGCAGGAGGCTGGGGCCTAGGCTGGGGGCGTTCAGGACGACCTGACCAGCCCCTCCGCCGCTCCCCACACAGGGCTTCGAGTACAGGAGTGTGACCGGACAGTGCTGCGGGCACTGCGCCCAGACCACCTGCCTCACGCCTGACGGGCAAGCGGTGCAGGTGCGCTCGCGGGCTGTGGGCGTGGCAGAGACCCTCACCCCGACCCTCTCGGCCCGTGAGAGAACCCCAACCCACTGGGCTTCCGCTTTCCCACCTGCCTTTCAGCCCAACGACACTTGGATCAACCACCACGTGGACAACTGCACTGGGTACCGCTGCGAGGCTGGAGACGGCCACTTCCTGTTGGTCCCGCAGCCGGCGCGCTGTCCCGACGTGTCTGCCTGCAGGGTGCGTGCACCCCGTCCTGCACCCCGTCCCCGGGGCCGAGCCTCGCCAGCATAGCCCTCTCCGCATGGGGGGA